AATTTAAACAGCTGACCTCAGTGGTCTTTGTTACTTGTTGGGAATCACTATTACTGATTTAGGTGAGAAAGGTAGTTATTACTCCCTTAGGGTGAGATATGTGTATTCCTTTCTCTTAAGTGAATTAAGACAAAAATACATGATGTGTGAAGACTTTAATGTATCTCATATTATAATTATGATTGATTAGGTCCTAACAGAGAAAGCGGCAGATACAGAATCTAAGAGAGGAAAGACAACGTGTAATATTCCAGGTAGAGCAATAAAAGAGGTCTATTACCATGAAGTTGTTTAGAATTAGTATATCTTACTATCAAAGAGAAACTCAACTGACAGCAAATGTGGAGTTCATGAGGACATCAGAATGATGCTTGAAAGACCCTAACAAAATATGGTCACCAAATTGGGATCTGTGAGATGAGAAATGGTGACATAGACTATAATATACTTTTATAGGCCATTAAAATTAGAGTTGAAAAAAGGAAGCTTCATGAAATTGCCTTGGGCAGTATCTTTCTGCCTCTGCAAGATTAAACAGAGCACATTTCACAATAGACGTCTCAAGAAATTTAACTAACCATTCATTTAAATCTAAAGGGGATAAGCTGTAATTAAATAAGCATCCTCTATTCAAGTTCAATTGGCCCTAATGAGCAAGTCTAAATCCTGTTTTCAAGATCAAAATTGCCTTTTGTGACAGCACCTCCCTTCTAGTCTGTCCTTCCAACACAGAAGAGCACTTCAGACTAAGGACAAACACGCCTGACAGATAAAGACAGCAAGTCCTGTGACTTGTTAAAAGTCATTTTGAGTATAGTTAAAGGTGAAAAGGGGACCAAGATGTGCATTTTTACAAGAATTTTATGTGATTGTGATGCATATGGTCCTAGGCCACCCTGCTGGACATCACAGGCTAGAGGATTTGCTGCTAGAAGAGGAAAAAAACAGAATAAATCTAGACAAATGAGAAGTAGGCACAGAGGTGGTGGTAAGAAATTAGGAACTGCTGCAAAGGGGCTTCAGAAAGAGTTTTTGAATAAGGGGGCAGGGGAGGAGAGACAATTGTGGGGGTAGGTAATAGCTACGAAAGATATTAAGAAGAACACAAGAGTTTAAAGATAGTTTGCTGGCTTTTCTCATGTATATTCTCCTTGGAATTTGCTTGTGAGATTGCAGTACAGATTTCAATTGTTTTCTAATTTTTTTCTGTTTTCCTCTTCGAATATTATTCTAAGCTGAACTCATCACCCACCAAGGGGCCCAGTTACAGTCCTGTTACACAGCGACACAGGCCAGAGCATGTGCTTTGTTTGGAAGACAGACCATGTAACCATTCACCTGGAAGCCCTTTGGCTTTGCAATGAAAGGAGCGTAACCAGGTGATACAAGGTGGCCCTGCACACGTAGACTCCTGATAGGACCGTGGGATGTAGCTCTCTGTTGTTGGGCATGAAGAGTGGCCATCACCAGTAGACCTGAGGAGACTTTCTGGTGCAGGGTGGCTGAAAACTACACAGGATCTCTCATGGATTGCCTTCACTCGCCATATCCCCTTGTTTCTTCCTGAGCAATTTCAAGACTGGAAGCCAGAAATGAATCTGAAGAGACAAAAAAATGGATGAATGAGAACTGGAGTCATTTCAGATGCCTCTGACATAACCTTTTCATTGCGCGGTTAAAGGTTCAGGAAAAATTGCCAATAGACTTTGAAATGGACGGAAAAGCTTGTCCTTGTGGGTTATCCTGGTCTTTCACTATCTCTGAGCTATTTCTGAATTCTGTATGTTGCAGATGGCTGATAGCAATAATGGAAATGATTCTTGTCCATGACATGCAAATGAACTTCACTGCAGGGTGAAGGGGACCATGATCCCTCCCACCCACCATCGTGGAAGAAGCCAGCTTTACATCTATGAAGCAAATTCACTTTGGTATCCCTGCTGGCCT